AAAAACCGCCAGAGGCACTTAACAGCGTTAGTTCCGAAGAATATGAAGATCGCTTTGAACAAGTGGTTATCATCTAGTACACTGTATTTTTAAGGGGATTAAAGTTTTTAAGACGTTATCGTAAATAAATAATCATTAAATAAACAGTTCTCGTTTTTGGGCATCCCCTCGTATCCAAAGTCACATAGGTCTGGTTGCCGAAAGGAAATGGATCTTTGAAAGGCCAGTAAACAAAATGTCCGAAAAAAGTTGCAGTTGGTTGGAATTAAAACTTACAGTACACATTGACGAGGGCCTCACGGCTGGCACTGACAAACTTTGATGTCTTGTTCAGTGCCTGACACTGGTACCGGCCTGGGTCAACATCACGATCAGCATTCAGTATCTGCAGATTGCTCTCACCAGCTAGATACCGGCGACCGCTCTCCAATTCCGGTTTTATCATTGAACCATTGTGCAGCCATGAGTAATGAATGTCCTGATTAGGCTTCACGGCGCACTCCAATCGCAAGGGTTGACCTTCTTCAACATCCTGATTTTGCGGGGAAAGCGTGAAGTAAAAACTGTCCGTAGAAGTACCTGGAGCAATGGAACACTGTTACTATAGTTATTTATACACCAGCATATCTAAATTAAAATGGCGTAAAATTCTGCATTCACGAATAGGTTTATATCATCAAAAATCTAAGCATTCTCTTGAGTAAGCCAAAACCCCACCTAATGAAATGTTTGTTGGTGCCATGGCATACACTAAAGGACATGGCACCAATTTGTTTGAAGTAAATTATTGTTATGAAGGGGATGGATAGGGAGGAAGAAGTGTTACGTTTACGTTTTTGAACGTAGGTCAGCTTTATAATATAAAAAAGCTCTGGTCGAAAAGGAATGGAATACTTAAACTTTTACATAGTTTAAGGAAGCATATAATCGACAGCTGTCACGTCGTGGCCACGATTCAATGAGATTGTCGACCCAAAGAACGAAGGCAGCGGAGTTCCAACTACGGCTATGGCTGTCTAACGATGACGTGTACGATAGAAAGAGTAATTTGGAAACCTTCCCCGGCTCGATCAACAGTATTTTCAGAGAATGCTCTTTCTTCGTAAAAGAATGCCCATGAAAGTTGCCATAAAAGTTAGGATCTTCCATTCTAATAAAAGCAAGCAAGCACTACCTCATCCTAAAAATGCATTTTCATTATTCTGTTAATGAAGTGAAATACTTAATCGCTCTCCACTTAGAATGATATGCATCATGCCTTTGGAATACATGTGCGCTGCTACTATATGATGATGCCTCCTCAGGACCGAATATGCACATTTAAAGCAGACATTTATTCGTAAGTGTCCCTTTTTCCAAGATCACCAATGAAATCCAGTGCGAGAAGACGCTAATAAAGGCGCTTTCCTTACCTGGGTTACGCCGACTTCAGGTGGTGATCGCATGTCACCCCCATTTCTCATGACAGTTGTTTACTCCACGCACTGATGTTCACTTCGCATACTCCAACTATTAACGTTACTCACAACTTTT